GTAAAAGATCTTGAAATCATGTTTGGTCTTATTTTCCATTCGTAAATTATAAATGAAACAAGAGTATGTCTTGACGTGCTAAGACAATGCACACACACAATATTTCAAACTTCTCATATTTTTTATGAAACTTTTTAAAACCAATCTTGACAAGTTCTTAAACAATTAAGAAGCCCGTTTGATCAATTAAAAAGGAAAAATACATTGGTTAGTTGATTAAGTCTTTATTCTAATAGATTAAAACGTAGTGTAAGACTAAAGAGGCTCATAATTATGGATCTATGTGCTTATAGGTATAAAAGTAAGTTGGTTTTAAGGATGACAACTGATGAAACAACTTTTAAGATGACAACTCCACAAGTCAAACAACTTTTAGATGTTGAGAGTTCTCTGTGCCAGGGTGATTTCAACTGTAAAGTAAAGCTTCATATATCTCAAGTCTCACCAGTCATACAATTCAAAAATCCAGTTAAAGTGCTAATCAAGTTGCTAAATAAAGTAGAGGATCTTGAAGTCTAGAAGAGTGAAGGTGTGAAAGTTTATATGGTCTTACATTTAGCGTCTTAGAGTGGTCAGTTTAATGGTAAAAGGTCAAGAGTAACTTTTGAACTACTAATACCATCACACATGCAAAAAAAGGTTTTTCAAACCCCCACTAATTTCATAAAACTTCTTGAAAACCTATCAAATCTTGTAGGAAATTGATTAAAAAACATTTCTGATTAATTATTGAAGTTTTCATACAGTCTAATCGATTAGAGTAATATGAAAAACCTTTTAATCGAATAGAAAAGCTTTCAAACGATTAAACCATGTAGATGTTTTACAAATTCCTTTTTGAATTAGAGTTGTCGTATTTTGAAAACTTTTAATCAATTACCAATTAGGGTTAATTGATTATTTCAATTATTAGCCATGTATTATTTCCTTTTTTTTTAGGAAAATGTTTTCCTATACGCGCGGGGTTTCTCCTCATTTTATTTTACGCCAATTTATGAATAAAAATATATATACTTTTCTTCTACTCTCTTTGTTTTAAAATTGCTTTTTCACAAGAATTGTCATAGTGTTAAAAGATTTAAAAAACCTTGCGAAATTTGTTTTGTAATTGGTGTTGTGATTAATTTTTTTTATTAAAGAATGTGATTCTCTTGTGAGTTGTATTTGTAAACGATTTAAATGTTTCAAACTAAACCTAAAAAAATTGGGTGAAGGTTCTTTAGTTAAGCTTGTATAAAAGATTTGTTTGACTCTTGTTGAAGGTTCGTGGGCTAATCCTACAAAAGCTCAAATATGATTTTAGAGGAACTCTCAAGAGGATGTTGGAGAGAGGGGCAGGTCAATCGGTTTTGTCAAACCTGTATAAATCTTTGACGCACTCTTTCTAAACTCTTCAATCTTTAATTTCTGCTATGTATCTATCTTCACGTCCATATTTATTATACCTAATTCTTATTTCTAACATGAACGATTTTAAAAGTAATTTTTTTAAAGTTAATCACCGATTTCTAATATCAAAATTCACCCTTGCTCTTGTGCTTGAAGTTACTTTATAAACAAGTGGTATCCGAGTCTAACTCTTGTTATAAGACTAATTGTCTCCAAAGATAAGAATAACGTCAATGACTAAATAAGCCATCATTCCTCAATGGATAAAAATATGCTTCGTGGAAAGAGAACATGGGAATCTTCATAGAAGGGATGAATTGTGATATTTGGAAAGTTATGAAAGTGGCCCTTTTTCCCACACATAAAGTTAATGGTGTTGTGGTGAACAAATATATAGATGAATGAACCAAAGAAGAAAAAGAAAAGTGCAGTGCAATTTAAAAGCTAAAACTATTATCACTACCGCTCTTGATCTTGATGAGTTTTTGTATGTTACTCACTGCGAGACTTTAAAAGAAATATGGTACACCCTTCAAGTTACCTATGAAGGAACATCTAAGGTGAAAAGGAATATGATGAACACATTAATTCATGTGGACGATCTCTTCATTGAAACTTTAAGAAAACATGCATGGTGTGCAAAAATAATTCAATAATATTGTGTATCACATGATAAGTTTGGGAAAAATATTTCAAAATGAGTATTTGGTGATAAAAATCCTTATATGCTTAAATTGTAGTTGGTAACCTAAAAACTCTATAATTTTTCTAAATCTAGGAACTTGTATTCCATGAATTTGGTTACTTTATTTAATAAATTTAAGGAACACGAGATGGAGCTGAAAAGGATAACCGATGATGATGAAGGTGATAATAAGAAGAAAATTTTTGCTATAAAAATTACAAATGTCAAAGACATGGAATTAGAAGATGAATACTGGAAAATTGAAAATAATTAGGACACAAATCTCATGTTTATGTAATTTTTGAGGCATGAAAAAACAAAATTCTCTACTACAAAAAGGGTTTTAACAACAATTGGATTAGGTATATAATCACGCAGGTCTAGGCATTGTTATATGGCACATTGTTCTATATATGTTACTTTCAATAACAGTCTGGTGACTGTTGTAGTAAACTGAATAGGCGCGCCCTATACGTAAGAATTAATATCAAAGAATGGAAATGAAGTTTAAAATGACAAGGATATGTAATCATTCAACAACTCGAGATATGCAGAAATATTTCAAACTTCCAAGAGAAGAGAAAATGTATAAAATTAAAGAACCAATAATGAGAATACTATCTTGACATGCGTGAAATCTTTCCGAATTCCAAGAGAAGATGAAGAATCAGAAGAAATAATATAAAAGCGGAAGAACACAAAACCAACTTCGTCCAAAGGAATCAAAATGAGTTCTCATGCTCAAGATATCAACAATGTTGAGAATCAAGATGTTATTGTTGTAGAGGATGTTGTGGTGCAAAACTATCCTCATAATCAAGATGAGGAAAGAAGCCGGTCTTGTGTAACAGAACTGTACTTGAGATCTCTCAAGGTGAGGAGAAGAAGAAGAAAAAAAAGGTTGATAAGGAAAATATTTTTTTTGTTGTCTGATGATAATGATGATGCTAACTATGATAGGTCAAACTTCCTCTCAGCCATAGAGGATTTATATTTGATTAAGTTTATGTAATGAAAGTTTATATGTAATGAAAGGTTATCAACTTAAACTACCAGCTTAAATCTATCGACTAATATACTAACAAACATATAACTAATTGAAAATCCAATAATTTGCGATGAACTTACTCGTAAGAAACCATCTTTTGATTGCATTCATGTCAAGTTCAATGCATCTGTAGTTTCAACATCAACAATGAAATTCAACTATTATATTTCAACTAATATACTAACAAACATATAACTAATTGAAACTTCAACTATTACATTTCATAACAAAGTAAACGTTAAACATAAAGGAGACAAGAAAACATAACATCTTCAAATTTCCAGACAATCTCTTTGATTTCACCCTGTTCTTTAAATTCTTGTTCTTCTTCTTTGAATCTTCATACATAACCTTTAAAATGAACATCTCTAACTCTGACTTCATAATACTCTTATCTTCATTTCCACCTTTTTCTTCCATGTCTTCATCCCATATGAACAAATTACAGGTTTCATCACTTCTCCAAAATGGACATCTCTAAAAAAGCCTTTCTTTATTTTGTCCCTTCTTGCATTGGCACAAAACCACACGACCATCACAACCACATAAATTTCCAGATTGAGATTTTATAGAAGAAGAAGACATAGAAACAACTTTAGATGACTTTGTCTTCAAATGTGACATTGAAAGGAAACTAAACAACAATAATATATTTACGTACTGTAAAGGAGAATACTATGTCGATGTTGTTGTCTTCCTTCCCGATGATGACGACGGCGTTGGTGTTAGGGTTGTTTCGTCTTGTTTCTTTTTGCAGTGGAAAACAGATACTTATAGTGTTTAAAATATATAAATTAACGCTTGTGTGTAACAACGGTTTTAAAAAACAACTGTAGTGATATCTCTGTTAATTTGTAGTTACGTATAAATAAAAATGAAAAGACGTGTATTAATGTCAAAGTAATAAACTATTTGAGGGTGATGAGGTTCAAATTCATGAAAGCTTCATTATATCACCATAGTGTTAACAATAACCTTTATTACACCCTTAAAAATTTTAATTAAAAAATATAAAAAATAATGTTAGCGCAAGAGTTTAGACATATCATCACAGTTTTTGGGAAAACTGTACGTAATGACTTTGGTGTTGTTATATGCACGTTTTGTAGTAGTGATTCAAAAATTCAAAAACAACAAGATGATCAACACAAGAATGAATAAAGGTCCTCATTTGTTCCTACAAATTATCAATGTGAAAAGAAAAAGCACATAAAACCAAATTTCCCTTAAAACCGGAATCAAAGAAGGAATCAGAATAAAAAACAAATAAAGTTCAAAAAACCTCAAAAGGAAACCTACATCAACTGAGATGACAATAACATGGAATCCTCAAATGAGGAAGAGTAATATATAGTTGGCCTATATGTTACTTAAGAAGCCTTCTAGGTTGGCCTATATATGCATATATAGGCCGACTTATTTATCCTTTATTCTAATATATGCATACATAGGCCCGCTTATTTAGGTTTTTTTTCTCTAATATACATCCATGTATTGGTCAGTCTATTTAGCCCATTTTTAATATATATGAAAATATAAGTCGATCTATAAGATTTCATAGACTTTTTTTAATAGTCTAAGGCTAACCTATTTTATTAAATAAGCTTTTAAAAATAAATCTAAACTTAACATTTTTACTAAGTAAATCTAACTTGATTTGATTTTATATAAGCTAGGCCATAACCCCTATAAACCAACTTGACCTATTCCCACCCCTACTTATAGATACCATCCCCGTCTCTAAAACGCTGCACCAACATATTATTGAATCGACCGCACTTTCTAATCACCGGTAAGATCTAAAAGATACTAAAGATTGGTTGATATACTACTTTATTTGTCTCACATTAGACATGACATCCAATTCTAGTCACTATAATGAAGGAATTTATAATATGGAGATATTTGAAGGCCAATTTAAAAGATGTGTCGGAGAATCTTGTAATATTTTTTAATAATACAAGAGAGAGAATACATTTACAATTTCCATCTTATATAAAGAAAATATTTTGCTAGCCATTCCTAAATTCTAAAAATATTTGATCGCAGAAACAAAAAATAGAAAAGAAAAAGAACAAAGGAGGGTCCTTTTTGGTGGTTAAGGAGAAAGAGACAGAGGAACAATTCTTCCCGTCCTTCGAGACGGTCTTCATCCTCCTTCCTCCCCCTTACGCTTCATCCTCAGGTTTGCTCCCTCTCTCTCTCTCAGATATATTCTTGTTTCAATTCCGTTATTTTCCCCTCGCGTAATTTGTAACAAATCGAAATTCTTCATCAAATTTAGGAATTACAATCAAATTTACATTGTCGAATTCGATTTTTGTGAATTGAGGAACGGTTATCGACTTGCGTTGTGTGGATTGGTAGGTTCAGTTTGAGTTTCACGCCACATTTGGGTTGATAATTTTTTTTTCTGAATTTGTTGCGTTATGGTTTGTTTTCTCTAGTTTATTATTGGGGAACGGCTTGATTACAATGCTATTGGGTTCCAGACATAGGATTTTGCGGAGGGTAGCATGTTTTAAGGGTTAGTAATGTCATATACCTAATTCTAAAAACAAAATTTCTATAGGAATAGCATCAAATTGTAGGGTTTGGCGTCTAAGCTTCACACTCTTTGAATTTTGATGCTCATGAGCATTAAAAATTGAAATCTACTTGATTTGCCGTTTTTTCAGTTTTGGTTGAGATTTCTGGTTTGGCCGACTATATTATTAATGTAATTAATATAATGGTTTGCTTGCAGGTTGATCTGCATTTGAATCTTACGGTTCCTGATTTATTTTTCGAAACATGGATGGAGTGCTTTTCTGGTCAAGTTGCCACAAGAATTGTTTGTTTTCATTTCAAGAAATGCTCAACTGGCGATTCCTCATACTTGGAGAACTTCTTCCGGTTTCCTTTGTTAATTGTACTTAATTGCCTTTTCTCCTTTAATGACCAGCACAGTCTGTGTGATGCTTGTTTTGTCTGAGAGTAGTGCTGCATCTTTAGGGAAATTGTACAAGTAAGAATTTATTCCTCTTCTTTTGATCAAACCCATAAAAAGATTTGTTTCTTGACAAGTGTTATTTTGACAGTGCATTGCTGACCCAATATCTTGTTTAAACATCTGAACAATCCACTTCTTTGGTAAGATATCTATCATGGAACACTTCATCGGCTTTAATTTACTGAATCATAACACAACCTTTTCCTTTGTCTACAGGAATGAAGTAGATAAACTGGTGTTTGATATGGATACTTCCTGTATCTTTAGTATTGGATAAGCAATTGCATTAAAACTGTGCAGACTATAGTTTTAAATAATTGTCTTCTTGTCCCAATGGGTATTGGTGATGACAAAACATCTTTTGCTTGAAATTTCTTTAATAACGCCTATGTAGACTTAGATGAAGTGGCTATTATTGAAGTTCTTAAGTGTTGGGTCACAGTGATTTTAGCTAGAGTTTAATCTAGTAGATTTAATCAATCATTTCGGTTACACCTAGGTAGACAGACCATTATGATCGCCAGTAATTGTTCATTTCTACCTCTTGCGTCCTGCTACAAAACCACGGGTCTATTAAAATATTAACCAATAAGACTACGCAGTCCTTCACTCAGAAAGTTTCTGCCTTTGCCAATTTTCTGCCACGACAAAGAATTGACAGTTGAATATACTGGACCAGCAAATATCTGTAAAATTTTATACTCCCTTCTCAGCATCGTCTACTAGAGTTAAATACCACCTATCTTTTGAATAAAGAGCTGCTTTGGGTTCTGTGTGAACAATGGAGAGGTGATTATCTTTTGCAGAAGTTGTTATGTTTCTCTTTTTTGTTGTTGAATATCTTTGTTTAAGGTTTGTTTCTTTCTTCCCCAAACGAAGGTACAAATTAATTAAGGAAGTTGGGGATGGAACCTTTGGGAGTGTCTGGAGAGCTATTAATAAGCAAAGTGGTGAAGTTGTAAGTATTCTTTAAATGGAATTATATCGGTGTTCTAGGTGAAGTTGGATGGTGTGTTTCATTCTAATTTGTCATAAAATTACAGGTTGCAATCAAGAAAATGAAGAAAAAGTATTACTCTTGGGAGGAGTGTGTAAACCTAAGTGAAGTCAAGGTGTCACATCCAACTGTTCTTCCCTAAGTCCTAATTTCCTCGTGTTTATAGTAATGCATATATTTATTCTATAATTCCTCTTATGGCAGTCCTTACGAAAAATGAATCACTCAAATGTTGTGAAGCTGAAGGAAGTTATTCGAGAATGTGACATTCTGTACCTTGTTTTTGAGTACATGGTGAGTGGCTGGTTTTTATGGTATAATGGTGGCGGATTTGAAGTCTAATACTAACTGTTTTAGATCAATTTTGAATGATGCAGGAATGCAACCTCTACCAACTAATGAAAAAAAGGGAAAAACTGTTTTCTGAGGATGAGGTTAGAAACTGGTGTTTTCAAGTTTTCCAAGGTCTCGCGTACATGCACCAGCGTGGATATTTTCACCGTGATCTAAAGCCTGGTACTTTTTCATGATTTTTTATACAATCTTGGTTGAGTATGTATGATAAAACAGCAACAAAAGTGCATTTATAATACTACTTTACAGAGCATGTAAGGTATATAATATTAGCAGTTTGCATATCGTGAGAAAAATACAGACTAGGTGTTTGGTGTAACTGTTATGCATATCTCTAATACCGCGCTGCAAAGTTTTGCTGTTTGATACAAGGTATGGTACTTTTTGCAGAAAATTTGCTTGTCACCAAGAATATTATCAAAGTTTCTGATTTCGGCCTAGTGCGAGAGATCAGCTCACAACCACCCTATACTGAGTATGTCTCCACACGGTGGTATGTGTCTAGCTTGAATACATCATTATCTTATATCTTATAGGTACATATTGTACTGTTTGTTGTGTATTTAATGACACATAATTAATGTCCTATGGTCAGGTATCGTGCCCCTGAAGTCCTGCTTCAGTCTTTCCTTTATAGCTCCAAAGTTGGTAAGCGTCTGATTTAGAATAATTATGCATAAAAAATAAAATTATGATCTTGACTATATGACATTACTTGTAAAGATGATGAATACCATACAAATTACAAACATTTATTTAATTTGTTTTATCTTCCAGACATGTGGGCAATGGGTGCTATTATGGCTGAGTTGTACACTCTCCGTCCTCTATTTCCGGGTACCAGGTATCATGTTCTACTCTGAAAAAAGTTACCATGTTCACACATTTGACTGCAATTAATTGTCACAAATATTTGGTTGAAATTTGTAATTAGTTTACTGCATAGTATCTGTACAAGTAAAACCCTGGTCTAAATCATTTTATATAATAGTTGGGTTGGAAATAAACCTATTCCATTTTGGCTCTGTACATGCAGTGAGGCAGACGAGATCTACAAAATATGCAGTGTGATAGGTAGTCCAACCACTGAATCTTGGGCCGATGGACTCAAACTTGCTAAGGATATCAACTATCAGTTTCCACAGGTTAGTTTTCTTAATTTGAACGCATCACAAATAGACTATAGAAAGCTTCTTTTGCTGTAGTGGTGGGTTTCTGTTTCCATTAAGTAGCCGCTCATTCACCTCGTATACTGAGTCAAAAGACTTCTTTTCTGTCCTGAAGAGGAATGAGGTGATGAGAATATGGCTGCTGTTTCCAGTTTTCATCTTTAGGGGTACCAACTTATAATTGTGCTAGGCGTGACTTGTGTGGCAATCTAAGCATTCTACTAATCTACTATCATTAAGCTTGATAAATAAATTAGCAGTGTCACACGTCACACATGTCGTTGTGTATTTATTTACTCATAAACTAGCTAAATATCTTGTTATATGTATAAATAATATTAAGATGGTATTGTATCATTTAGGCTTAATTAAAGTTTTGGTCTTCCTATTTTCATCCGCTCACAGAATTAGTCCTTCATTTTAAATCACTCAGTTTTGGTCTCCATCCAGTTTCATGGACTAAAAAATAGTGTTATGACATGTTTCAAATGACGTGTCATACGACCAAACAAAGTACAGTTATTGCGATGGATGAAATATTTACATGTCATTAATTAAGTTACAAAAAATGAATTAATTCAGAAGTTGAAATTGATGTTTTTAAGAGATTTTCTTGCAATGTAATTAGGGGTTGATCATTCCACATCATCATATTGTATGTCACATCATTTACAAAATGCCACTTCACAACTTTTGAGTCCATATATATGAGAGAGGGACCAAAACTGGGTGATTTTAAAATGGGGGGACGAGTTCTGTGAGCTTGTGAAAATAGAAGGACTAAAACTGCAATGAAGTATTATTATCAACTAGCGCCTCACACCTAGCACATAATTATATTACTAATGTGCTATGTATAAATAATATTTCTAAATGTATATTGACGGACATTAATGTGATAAATAGATAATTACTAAGATTGGTATATTCTTCAGCTAATTACTGTAAGCCATGTATTTATTTCTACAGCTAGCTGCCGCAGATCTTTCTGTACTGATTCCATCCAGAAGCGATGATGCAATCAACCTTATCAAAGTAAGTAGTTCTGATTCATTGCATAACAGTTCAATCCTGGCCTCCATTTCTCAACTAATAGAGCTATGTGTTTTTTTTACCTTTCTGTTCTTTTCGTTTTATATCTATAGTCACTTTGTTCATGGGATCCCTGCAAGAGGCCTGCTGCAGCAGAGGCCCTTCAACATCCTTTCTTCAAGGTTTTATTATTACTTGTTCATACTTTCATTTTTTTTTAAAATCTATTCTATGCAAAACTATATTCTGCTTTCTGTAAGCTAGGTTTTGACTGTTTATTCAAAATAATTTGTAGAGCTGCTTTTACATCCCTCCATCGCTTCGCACCAGAGCAGTAACCAGAACTCCTCCATCTGGTATGTAATTTTTATTTATTGCATGCTAATGACTTGTTATGGTTCAATTGGATTTGGAGGGGATACTAATACTGAACTTCTAACTGTTTCTCTCTTTTATTTTTGCAGCCGGAGTAAGGGGATCAGTGGATCGTCAAGGGGTCAGGAAATATTCTGGTGCATTGCCTAATTCAAAACTTGGCAATAATTTTTCTTCCATGAAATTACATCCTTCTGTAGCTCCAGGTTATCTTTACTGGTTTCCACCATTTATCGGTTGAATGCATGCATGTTTTTTTTTACTAATTATCATATTTTTCACTGTCAGAAATAACTGTTGGCATTTAAGCTGAAAAATATGCATTGGTAGATTATTTAAATTGCTAATTTATAATTCGTGGAAACGAAATAACGATTACATCTGATGTTTTTCCTGTTTGGGGGGGCCTTTGGGCTGTATAAGTACATAATATATTTTTTTGTTTGTCATACACTATTTCACACTTTCACATACTGACTGTATAGAACATGGTTCTCATTCATTTCTATTACAGGTGTGCAACGGAAGCTGGATATGGCAAAAGAGGTGATAAGTTGTTCTCTCTTCTTTCTCTATCTTGTTCTTATCGAATCTTGCTTATGAATTAATGCCCTACCCCCATGCTAATATTTTTTGACTGTCCTGAAGGACGGAATTAAAGATAAGAAATCAATGAAGACTACTACTCCACAATCGAAATATCAACCACCAGTAAAAGGCAGCCCGAGTAAGCACTTTTGTCATTGTCTTTGGTTAATTATCATTGTAATAGTCATTCAGTCAATTTAAGCCACTTATATCACGTATCATCATTTCAAGTGGTTGATTTTCA